AAGCTTGTGAAAAATGCCCACTACAAAAATGCTATCCACTGGGGCCACTGTTGTGGTACAGTGAGCCAAGCTGCTACCTGTAACGCCAGCATTCCACATGACAGTGCCAGTTTCAGTCCTGGATGCTGTGCTGTCAGTCAGCTCTCTGCTGATGTTCCTGGGAAGGCAGCAGAGGGTGACCCAAGTACTTGGGCCCCTGCTGCCCCCATGGGAGAGACCCAGATTCCAGGCTCATGACTTCGGCCTGGACCAGTGCCAGCTGTTGTGGCCATTTGCGGAGAGAATTATTGGATGGAAGAACTTTCTCTCTCTGTTTTTCTTTCTCTCTTTCTCACTCTGCTTTTCAAAGAAATAAATTTTTAAAAATAAGAAAGAAAATAGTATTTATGGATTTCAATTTTTTTTGTACCAAAGTAAACTCCATTCCACTTTACCACAAACTTTTTAAATACTGTAAGTTTCTTAATTTGTGACTAGCAAAGGTTTTTGTGTTTGACTCTAGTTTCTTATTAATATTATGTAATCAGAGTTGTGATCAATTACTTGATCACAGAGTTGTGAACAATTAATAGTAATGAACAATAGATTTTTTTCAATATCAGCAAATTTTTGGCAGCATATAAAATAGTAAATTATTGGAGACTCTCAGAATTTAGAGAGGCTTAAAAAGAATGACCTTAAGTTGGTATTTAACCTAGCCATTGTAAAGCTCCACTTGGGATGACTTCATCCCATAGCAAAGTGTCTGTGTTCAGCTCCCTGCCCCACTTCTGATACTAACTTCCCACCAATGCATACCTTGGGAGGCTCCAGTGATGGCTCAAGTAGTTGGGTACCTGCTACCCATGTGGGAGATTCGGATTGAGTTCTGGCTTTAGCCTAGCCCAGCACCAGTTGCTGTAGGGCATTTGAGGAGTGAAGCAGTAGATGGGAAGTCTTTGTTTGTCTCTTTATCTCTCCCTTTCTGCCTCTTTGAAATTAAAATAACAATTTTTAAAAGAATGACATGGAAGCTTACCTCCCCTCTGCCAGTGCAAAAAAAAAAAAAAAAAAACTGATGGCGAGAATAAAAGAAACCTTTATTTTTTATATAAACTCTTCTTTCATTGGGCAAGCACTGTGATATATTTATGAAAACTCAGGGATATACCCAGAATTTATCAATAGGATAGCTTATAACCCTGTTTTGGAAAAGGACCTTTCTCGTAATACAATCCCATTAAAATTTCATTCCTGGAAAGAATAAGTTCTTATAGATGAGATTATTTCTGCAGGATATTTCCTGTCTGTGTGTCCACTGTCATTTCTTTTTTTTTTTTTTTAAGATTTGTTTATTTATTTGAAAGCAGAGTTACAGAGAGACAAAGATAGAGAGAGAGAGAGGTCTTCCATCTGATGGTTCACTCACCAAATGGCTGCAGTGGCCAGAGCTGCACTGATCTGAAGCTAGGAGCCAGGAGCATCCTCCAGGTCTCTCACACAGGTGCAAGGGTCCAAGGACTTGAGCCATCTTCTACTGCCTTCCCAGGCCAAAGCAGAGAGCTTGATTGGAAGTGGAGAAGCCAGGATTTGAACCAGCGCCCATATAAGATGCCAGCACTGTAGGCGGCGGCTTTACCTGCTATGCCATATTGCTGGCCCACTGTCATTTCTAAGTCCTTAGTCAATTGTGCCTAGAATATCACTGAAACACATTATTCAGAAGTGAAGGTCCACTCACTTATTATGAATATTTATTTGCGTACCCTGTGCACATGTGTTATTTTCTTCAGCATCAACTATGCTAAAAGTTTCTGACTGGCCCCTTTTGTGAATGCCAGGCTGTGAGCTGCATGTGTGGTAGTAAACAATTCAGATATTAGTCTTTAGTTCCAGCTCCAATAGAGAGCTCCTCAACACAGTTGAGTACATTTGAAGGAATCCTGGCTAATGTGTGTTCCTTTTGCCTTTGGGTGTTGCTGTGATGTAGAATCCTGGCAAGTAAATAGGGTTTGGGTTAAAGATCATTCCGATCAGGCAGTTTAAGGAAATGATGAACTCATTCTCATTCATGGCCAGTGTTGGGTGACATCAAAGTTTTCCATAATCCTTGCTCTCGGGATATGTTGAGTATATGAAACAGCTGCATTAGAAATACATTTAAAAGCCTGGCTTATTTGAAATATGTAAAAAAATCCGAGCTGCACATTGTTGATTTAGGATTCTGATTTAAGTGTCCTGTGATCTTATTCCTCATACGCAAGAAACACCTAGGCTTTGATCAAATATCTTTTTTTGACCTATGACATTTTGGCTGTTTGCTATATTAGATTATCCACATGGAAACATCAATTGGATATTTCCTCTCCATCACCTCCCAGTGATACTATGGTGGCAGATGTAAAGAATGAAAGAAAAAGGTGACACAAGAATATTTAATGGTAAAGTCAGGTTCAACAGAAGCAGAGGTAGAAGAAAGAAACGTAGTTTCTCTACTTCCAACACACATGTTTTCCACAGATGGCTGGTTTTCTTCAATTTTCATAATTACAATTTCAGGCAGCGTCCCTCCACTCCAGCATGGTTATCCCATTTGTGGGTTACCCATTTCCTGTGCATTTCCTTCCTCCAGCCCACCTCTTGGCCACATTAATGTTACTACATGTCATAATTGATACCACAGGTGGCCACAGCAGGTTCTGAAAAGAAAATGAAATGGAAACTTGTCAAAGTTGCTTTGTGTTAAATTAAAATATTTGGTGAGGAGAAACCTAAACTCTTGGCCAGAATGAAGCTTCTGAAAAACATAGGCATTTCAGAAGTGTACACTATTTCTTTCATTACCATCTGTGTTAACCAAACATTACCTGGCTTGGGTATCTCCGAGGAGGTGAGAGCAGTAAGCATAATGGCTGTTTTGAATGTGGAAATAAAGTTGAAGCTATGTCCTCATTTCTGGTGTGCACCTAGCCGGTATTTCTGACATGCTAAATTAGACTTAGTTTAATGCATGGTCTCCTAGAGACTTACCATCAGAGGGACAAAACTTACACTCTAGAGTCAGCAGTCAATATTTCCACAGACTTCAGTGAGCAGGGTTGGATTGTGAAGAACAGAGTGTGTTCCTAAGTTCAAGGAAGGGAGGAAAATGATTAGGTTGAAGAAGGTTTTGTGGGGGAGGTAGGTGTAGAACTCTGCAAGGAAAACTGGAGGAAGGGAGGAACGTGGAATTTGGAAGAGAAGAGCAGAGTGGTGTGCCAGGAAGAAGTGAGGAAGGTCAGGGGAAGATGCACATGTTCCTAAGTCTGTATAAGCCCCATACTCAGTGAGAGTGCCGTTGTCTATCATGAAAATATGGGTGCATCTTGTCTTAGAATGGTTCCTTGCAATGCCTCAACTATATTTATAATGTTCAACCAAAAGCAGTCTCAATGGGGAATAGCTTGATAAATAAATTCATGTCAGGGGGCAGTGAGGGTGTCTGCCCTAGTTAACATTTGTGTTGGAGGGATGAGATTTGGAAAGAATGGAGCTTTCACTTAGGATGTACTAGGAATAAAATCCGAACCATGACAGGCAAAGCCTTGACTGATTGGACCTTGCCTCTGTTTCTATTTTGCTGCACTGTATGCCATTCTCTCACTTGTTGTCTGAGCAAGACTGACCTTCCTTGCTAAGCTCTTACCTACATTAGTCTTTGTGTTGCTATGTCCCTTCCCATTAGTCCCCAGTCTCACGAGAAGACCAGCTTTTCCTCATCAGCCACGGACCAGCTCGTGTTTCACTTTCTCAGAAACTGGAGTCTTTTTCTAACCATCCCACCTAAAGTAGTGAACTCAGCACAGCATGCACCAACATACCACCTTCTTTACTCCTATACTGCACATGGAGCACTTTGAGTGATCTTTCTTCTTTATCTTCTGTGTTACCCCTTTAGGACAAGAACCTCATCTGCTTTGTTCCCAGCCAATGCCAGTATGCAGTAGGTGCTCAATGAAGTGTGTGTTAAATGAGCCTGTGACCGTGGGATCTCTGTTAGGCTTATTCCTATCCCAAAGCGTTGAACTGTTTGTTACAAAGCAAGAGGGAAGATGTGAAAGGCCCTGGTGGCTGGTGTTGCTATGGAGTTAGAGGGCCACACACCTCTCTCCTTTGTTCTTCCACCAAGTCCTAAGTACTTGGGAAACAACAGGACTCCGAAGAGAAGCGTATTTCAAGGAGATGGAATTTAAAGGAACAATTGCATGGTTGGTTAAATGCTGATAAGTTATATCAGGAAAAGTTGTTGGCTTAATCCATTTCTAAGTGTATTTATAAGTCATTGCCATTGCAGAATGAAATTCCTACTCGTAATGAGCTAAGGTTCCCTGTTTTACGGCCTGTCCTTTGAAGCCCTCTCATTTTCCTGTGTAGGGCACCTTTTGGGACTTTGCACTCTTCCCCGCCCCCTTCTCAGAGTAGTGCTGAATGATTATGTCTAGCCTTTAGAAATTATAGCATACTAGCCATTGTTAATTCAATGAAAGAAGTTTAGAAAACCTGTTATTTTTTCTCACTCATGGGTTCCTCACTGTAGCACACCCCTGGCTGACTGTTCAAAAGCTGCCAGAGTTAGTTCCTTTTGTAGCTGGATTGGCTTCCAAGTTCCAAGGTAAGAATTTATTAAGTATATGCCCTCAGTTTCATGGTTGGAATTTATAAATTAAATGCTGCGATGCCTGTTTGTGTGCCATTAGTACATGATAATGACAAAATGATACATCCATTATTTTGCTATTGGTGTGTATACTTTATGTTTTTTTCCAAAAGATGTGTGGGATTAGAACAGGTCAGAGCGAGTTGCAGAGATTTCTGTTTCACTCACTTTCCCCCCATTTTTCCATCTTTCTTATTACAATGTTGGAGATCCAGCACCAGGCAATCCCTCAAATTGTTATTAATTTAACTTACCTCTTAACAAGAGGGTAATTCTGTCATCTCCTCACTGTTCAGAAATCTGCAATGTCTTCTTCCTTCTTTAGCACTGCAGTGACAACACGCATCCCTGCCAGTCAGATATGAACATTGAAGGAGCCTGGAAGAGGGGCTACACGGGAAAGAACATTGTTGTCACCATCCTGGACGATGGCATTGAGAGAACCCATCCGGATCTGATGCAAAACTATGTGAGTGTTTGCTGTGGGTGGACTCTCTTTCCTCCTGGAAAGCAGGGAACCTCATATTTGGATAATCAAAAAGGGGACATGCTACAACAAATGTAGATACCATAGACTCTCCCTTACAAAAGACAAGCACATGGTGTACAGGAAGCTTGTGATTACACTTTCAACCTTCCAGTGCCTTTGATGTTTTGACCTACAAGAAGCAAGCAATAAGGTCACAGAATCCCTGCCACCAGCGCCATCTGCTACCAGCAGCATCCACTCTTCCCAGCAACCCAGCCAGCAGGGCAACATTCTTGGTTTCCTTTATGAAGAAAAGTGTCCTTAGAAATTTTCCCAAGTTGTTTTGCTGTTTTCTTTCTCTCTACCTCTCCATCTTGAAAGGATGGTAATGATCAGCTTCCCTGTAGTCTGTAGAAATCAGTCAATTTCCTTTCTTAAGAAAGAACCTCAAGTTCATTTAGTTCTCATTTGTACAAAACAGTTGAGTGGCTGCTCTCCCCTGCATCCAAGCACGCTGAAATAAATTTATGTCTCTTCATAGCACAGAATTTTAAAGCTATAAAGGAACTTCAGTTTAGTATCCTCACTTGGTAAGTGAAGAAACTGAAGCCCGAGTATGGAAGAGCGATTCAGGGTCAGACAGAAGAGCAGAACCTGCCTCTCCCCCAGCACACAGGCAAACAGCTTTCCCTGTGTCCTGCTGCGCCCACTGAATATGAATGTGTTTGGTTTAGCACAAATAGCTTTCATCTAGTGGTGACTGTTCTCAATACCTTTCTAATATTTTCTCCTATAAAGAAAATTCTCCTGAATTATCTGTGCAATTAGAGTTGCCCTCCTTACCCGCTTGGTTCTCCTTCTGTGAGAGCTGGTGAGGGAGTAGAGAAATCAACTGGATGAAACTGGGTTCCAGTCTTATTTTATTTTATGCCAAACAGGTTATAAAGTAACTTCTGGGGGGCCCACTCTTTTCATTAAAATTACTGAATTTTACCAGATACTCTCCAAAGCCCTTCATCTGCCTGTGGCCACTAAATGGGGCTATAGGCTCTCCTATGTACAGGAAGCAGGGTCTTAGCACCTGTATATATAATGCACATTTTGTTTAATTCCCCACCCCTCAAATTTCAGGCTTTACATGCTAAAAATTACTTTTTGAAACAAGAAATTTTGATATAAACAGAAGACAAAAGTAGTGTTTACTTTCACCAGCATTGAAGTTAGCAGCAACCATAAAGCATAAGAAAATTGAAAACATCCTAACATAATCTGTCTGTAGTGGTATAAATTTTAACAATGATAATGCACCAGTAAATTATTTTTTGGATACTTTTCACAATCATTTTTAAAAGCACATGAATAAATCTAACTTGTGTTTTGTAGCTACTGTTTCCCCATCTTGAAACCTTAGCACAGGGAAACCTTGTTCATCACTTTGGCTGGTCCAGAAGCCATTGGGTGTTAGTTAAACAGCTGTATTATAGACTGTTTTGTAGTAGATACAACATCTGAAACCAGACATGTGTGGTCTAAAACAGGTCCCAAGAAAACTGATATAATAAATAGCTAGTACTGGTTTTTATTTGAATTATATGTGAATGCTTTTTGTCTTGTACAAATCTTGTCTTGTAAAACTCTTTAAATTTTGATAAGGAAGTTGCCAGCTCAAGAAGTCAAGTACAAAATAGGGAGGGAGTCTATAAAGAATAAATCACTTTGCTTCTAGGTAGGCAAAGAGTGCTTCATAGAAAAGGCAATAATTGAGGATACCTGAAAGTCACACATCTCAAGAACTAAGTCATTCTAGGGGTGAGGAGAAAAAGTGCTAGCAGAAATAGACCGAGCACTCTTTCATCTGTGTAGAGTCCTCCTTCATTTGAAGGGGAAAAACATAGCAAGGATTATTACCGAACCACAGTCTCTCCCTAAGGCATCCTGATGCCACTGGACCACGAACGTATTAGTTAACCTAATGACTCTCTTGCAGAAATGTGTTTAAGAATGCATGAGCCTGCGGTCAATCGCTAATTAACGAATGCCTGTTTGCTTTCTCTCTCTCTTCTCTGTGCCATAGGATGCTCTGGCGAGTTGTGACGTGAATGGAAATGACTTGGACCCAATGCCTCGATACGATGCAAGCAATGAGAACAAGTAAGGCCCAAGTGAGCGGTTGCTGGTGTAGGGCTGGAAAGGAGCTTTGTATTCTGCTCATGCTGAGGAAGTATCTTCTTTGAATTCCTTGGTAACGAATGATCACTAATTTTCTGGAAGTAAATGAGGATAACAGCACAACATACCAAAACTTATGTGCTATTTCTAATAGGCTTTTTTCTTTTATGGAAAAAATTCTCAGCTAGTATTATTTAAGTGAATCAGTAAGTTTAGACAAAACAATATAACCTAGAAAATTATGACTATACATGTATTTATTTGACCATCAACTATTAAAACGCTATTATTGCCACTGCCTGGGACTCCAGCATTCCGTATGAGCACCAGTTTGAGTCCCAACTGTTCCACTTCTGATACAGCTCCCTGCTAATGGCCCTGGGAAGGGAGTGGAAAATGGCCCAAGCACCTGGGCCCCTACTTCCCATGTAGGAGACCTAGATGGAGTTCCAGGCTCCTGGCTTCAGCCAGGCCCAGCCATGGTGGTTGTGGCTATTTGGGAAGTAAACCAGCGGAGGGAAGATTTCTTTCTCTTTGTATCTCTCCCTGTCTTTGTCACCCTGCCTTTCAATTAAATAAAATAAGTGGATCTTTAAAAAAATCTATTAAGATTGACAATCATATTACAGATCAGAGATAGTAGTGAAGTGTCAGTATGCAAGTTGATATAGGTAGGCTTTTCTAGGATTTCCTAATAAAAAGAATCAGGGTCTTAAATGAATTAAATTGCATAGTTTTAGTTCAGACATGTTGTTATCAACTAGGTTATAATGTTTGGTGAACTTCATACAAGGGGTTATAGTTCCAAGCAACATGAATGATGTATTCCATAGTAATGTGTGAATTAGCATGAAACACTGAAGAAGAAATGCAAAGTGCCCATTACTTGTAAAGGTACTGGTGATATGCATTGTGGGGACCAAAAAAATAGTAATTTCTTTCTCTCCATTTTGCTATGAACTTGAAATTACTCTTAAAAATTAAATCTTTCATCCAGGAAGTGGCAAATCAAACCCAGAATGTGATGTCATCTCCCTCCAGTTAGAATAGATATTATCAAAAAGACAAAAGACAAGAAATGCTGGCAAGGATGTGGAGAAAAGGGGCCCTGGTACACTGTTGATGGGAATGTAAATTAGTACAGCCATTATGGAAAGCAGCAAAGAGGTTCCTAATATATTACAATTGGTAACTACCATATGATCTAGCCCTTCCACTACTGGGTATATATTCAAAGGAAATCAAATAAGTCTGTTGAAGAGACATCTGTGTTCTCATGCTGATTGCAGCACTATTCATAAAATAGCCAAGAAATACAAACAATTTAAGCGCCTATCAACTGATGAATGAATAAAGAAAATATGGCATATACACATGTTAGAATACTATTCAGCCATAAAATGGATAAATTCCTGTCATTGTGACAGCATAGATGGAACCAGAGGTCATTAAGTGAAATAAGGCAGGCACAAAAACAAAAGTTGGATTAAGTTCCTTATGTGTAGGTTCTAAAAATGTTGATCTCATAGATGTTGGGCTAAATGGTGGGCACCAGAGGCTGGAGACAGTAGACCAGAGGGAAGAAAGATGGAGAGAGGTTGGTTAGCAGGTACTAAGTTATAGATAGGTTGGATAAAGAAGTTCGGACTTATCCAGAGTGACTATCATGTACTATATTTTTTGTCAAGTTAGAAGAAAGGATTTTGAATGCTCTCGTCATAAAGAATTGATAAATGTTTGAAGAGATAAATATATTATCCTAATTTGAACATCACACAATATACCCATATGTCAAGACATCACATGGCACGCATAAATATGTACATCTTTTCTGTGTCAATCTTTTAAAAAATCTTAAAAAATGAACAAAAAACAAGGCACTATTATACATTTAAATGTGTGGTCCATTATGCTATAACATGTGCATTCCTAAAAAGTGTAACACTCTGAGGAATCTAAATGCATAGAGAAAAAAGAAAATAGAGCAGAAATCTAACATTTAGATTAGGAGCCAGTCCTAGTGGGGAAGACACCCACATCACGTTGGAGTCGCTGACTCCAGCTCCTGATTCCAGCTTTCTGCTAATATAAACCCTGGAAGGTAGCAGGTGAATATGTAAGTGATTGGGTTCTTGCCACCTTCATGGGTGAACCAGAAATGGTTTCCCAGCTCTTGGCATTGGCCTCTTGTGGGCATCTGGGAAGTGAAGCAGCAGATGGAAGTTTCTTTTCTCTTCACCCCTAACCTGAATCTTTTCCTCTCTCTTGGTCTGCCTCTCTTTTCCTTAGTCTCTCTTCTTCTCAAATAAATAATTTTTAAAAATTCATCAGTGACACACACAAAGTCCTGTAAAATGGTATCCCAGTTTTACACACAGTAAGTGGTTAATCCAAAGGTAGCACCACCTTGAAAGAAAACAACACAGTTTTAACGGGTGTTTCTGTAAGTATATGCTCATTTTACCTCCTCCCACTTTCACACCCACAACCCTGGGTGCAAGAGAAAATGAGCAAGAGAAAAATGAGATAATTATTAAAACAAACCAAAAAAATGAAATCCAGACAATAGAGAAGAAAAATACAAAGTAAGCTGAGATAAGGGGGGAAGGGAATTAAGCAGAGTGGAGGATGGCCATTGGCTGAAGTGCTGCAGCTTGCCAGCTTCCATGAACCGACTATTATGAGATGAATGGAGAGGAACCTGAGATCAGTGAGAAGTTGCTGCACAAGATGTGGCTATGTGTGGATTATTGTGCCATTGAGCTCTATAACTGTGTTTTCTGTATTTCTCTGACTCAGTTCAACTGGGTGTGTTTTCTGCATTCACCTAGAGTCTCTGGGACAAAGTCACATATAAACAAATGCAAATTTTACATTCTGTTCAAATTAGTCCCTAATGTATGTATCTTGGGGGAAGAAGTTTGTGATATCTATTGTGATATAGCAGAACTGATTGTACTCTATCCATTCACTAACATTATCACATCAGCATTTCTATAAGGAAAAGGGAAACAAGAAAAGTATAGGAAAGTCTAGATTAGGTTAATGCCCCCAAGTATCACTGTGAGGAGTGTGGAGGGATAAGAGGAGCTGTAGGTGGAAATGGAAAACCAATGCATTGAACCCTGTCGTTCTTTGAATAGGAATCCACAAGTGGTAATTTTTTTTTGCCGTGAGACTCTGCTGGTGACTGTTCTCCAAGGGTGTGCCTGATCTGTGACTAACATTGCTAACCACAATGTCTCTCTGTAATGACAGTTCTTTGAGGATTGGCTTTGATGGCTTTTTATAGACTACCCTTTTAAAACTGTCTTTGTGAGGATTCCTTTTAAACATGCCCCCCCCGCCCTGCCCAGTCCCCCAAGACCTTTGTTCAAGAAGAATCACCGCAGTCATGCTCACTCTGGAGTATTGTAGTGGGGCCTGTTTTGATCCTTTCTGAGCACTGTCATTGAGTTCAGTGAGGTTTTGATTGTTGGAGGACATGGGCTTTGTTCCAGATGTGCATGTAGGTTTGTATTCTTGACAATGAAATATGGCATTGTTGGAGGTATAACACCAGCACTCCCTACCTGTTTCATTAGAAGTCAGCAGTCCCTTGAGATACTTCTGCCTGATCAGGTTTAATGGTTATAATCTCCTCTTTGCTTGTTTCATTACAATGATATATAAGATTGATGGATCTTTCTTTAATTAATGATTCATAGATAGATAATTCAGTTTGAATAGCAGTCATTCAGAATTAGGAAATAAGAGTGGGTTTGTGGCTTCTAGGAAATTTTAGCCCTGGCTCTCCTTGATTAGCTTTATGGTCTTTGGGTCTAACTATTTTGAATATTAGCACTTTTTTTAAATCTCTAAAATGGGTATTAAAATACTTATCTCTAAAGGTTAGCAATAAAATTTGTTAGAACACCAAGCTGACTACATAATAAGTGTTAGATAATTATAGATGTTATTATTGTAATGATGTGTTCTATTCCTGTATTTATTTCTTGATGAATAATCAGTAAAAAATTGCAATCATCTCAAAATATGTGTGCATATGAACATTTAAAATCTAAATTAAGACTTGGACGTCTGTTTATTTTCAAGGCTACAGGTTTATATAGGTTTTTTTCAGTCTACTTTAAGTCTGCTTTCCTTTAATTCCATTTCTCTATTTCCCTTTATAGAACAAGAGTCCTTGGTTGGTATTAGATAATGAAGGTGAGGACCTTATAATCATCATTCAAATTAGGCAGTTGAGGCAGATACTACGCAAATTCTTCCTTGTTGTACCATCAGACCAGTGGGCTTTGGAGTGCATTGGAATTATTATGAGGCTGCGTTTATGCATCCAGTCAATGAGTTGTTGAGACCTTGCTATGGAAATGGCTCTGTGCTGCTTAGAGTCTACGATGATGAAATAATAGACGTTACTACTAGGTTGAACTGAGAGATGACACAGTAAGAAACCCTAATGTCTGAGAGGTTTTCGGTACCGTTGGAGAATGTACTCTCACAACTTTATGCTAATTATTTCTCTTAAATTTGTATGATTTCATTTCTGGTGGCAAACTTTGGAGGGAAGGAAATTATCCCCACATTATAGAACTTAGGAAAATATTTTTGTCCATTTTTCAAGTTCCCAAATGGTAGCATGTCAGACCTAAATACTTGATGCTACAGAAATAGTGTTACTAGAGCAGACGTAAAAGCCTGGATTGTACTTCGACTTTGCCTCAGTTCATTTATCTTGCCTTGTTCTCAGCTGAGAAGAGACGATACTTCTGCAAATGAAGCAGCCTCCTGGCATTACGTACCACTACTCCCATTTCTGATAACTGAATCGTTGATCTCCAGGTTAGATCATTCCTTTGCTAGGTCACTTCCTGTTAAATGTTCCCTCTGCCTAAATGTCATGGCACCATATTTAGAAGGAGATGACACCGCAGCATTGTACTTTGTGTTGCTTGTGACCCCAGAATCTAATTCCTTTC